CTTATAAACTTTTACATATATATGGCTCAGAGTGTCAGTATTTAGAGACTGCCTACCCCAAGTAAATTCTACTTTCACAGACTGGGCGAATAAATAGCACCTACTGAAGATCCTCTCCTCAGAAGGTATGATAACAGAGGGAATGGAAATGGGCGTTCTCAGTGTCTACTGTCTTTCTTTGTAAGAACTTATTCCTGAGGCAAGATGGGCACCACGTTTATGGCCTTTTGGAGTTAAAACGTAACTTTGAGCTTTGGAGATGCCCAAGAGTAAGTTCTGTCAATGCCTAGAGTAGGTTCTGAGCCAAATATGGGGTGTGTGCGTGTGTGAAATGTTTTGGACAATTTGGTCCAAACTGCAAAGAGTTTTGGGATGAAGAAATTGTCTAGACCCCTTTTAGCTGGATTTCAGTCCCCTAGCACAGGACTGAAATTCCTTTGGTCACTTATGCTGATGACTTCCATTAGGTTTAGGATGCAGGGAGTGCACACTTTTGATGCTATAATATCTCTGAGCTATGTGCAATACCACTGACCATGGTAACCTTCTGGACCTCCTGTGAGGAGTGATGGAAATGATCTCCCCATCGGAAGGAGCAGTCAATAAAAATGGTCTAAATACAATATAATCCATCTTGCAGACAGATCCCTTCGAATACCCTAGGAAGTAAAGAAATGATATAGCTCTTTAAAAGCAAAGGCTTTAATTTAATTGATACGAATATATCCTTTTCCTTTCTGAGCCTTAGATTTCAGAAAGATGCATATTTTTGAATCTTTTTGCTTCCAGACATATGTATGCAATACTCTTTGTTGAATACAATAATCCAGCCTGTACTTAATCTTTTATCTATATTTTCTCTCTTAATAAGGTTAATCTGCTTAGGCAGGAAGATCTGACATAAAAGCACAAATCTGTGAAAGTCTTAATGTCCAGTATACATTTACTCTCATTTATTTTGCACTGTTAACATCTTGTTTATTGACTCTCCACTTTTACCTTGTTGAATATACAAATTGATACACATACACACCCTTTCCAACATCAGAATTCTAAAATTACACAGGTTCAAAGCATTACTTTGAAACTAACTGTGTCACTGCTTCCATCTTTCACTTCATAGAGGAGAAGGAAGTTTTACAACCTTAGAAAATTTTGATCCTGAAGATGGAAAACATGTGCCCAATGCAATCCTCATTCTTTACATATTAATTTGCCTTAGATGACCTTTCAGAGCAGAATGTAAAACAAACAAACAAACAAATCTTAATAAAGAGGGCAAAAATAATGCTAGTGGGGAACAAAGATGATGTTCATTGTCCATATAACTTAAATCTCAACTACTACAACAACTCAGATGTAACATCCAGAGGAAATATCAGAAGGAAAATAACTGGACTGAACAAGAAATCTGTTTATTGACTTTATATCCTGTCTTTCCTCAGAAAATTCAAGACTTTCCTAGAAATCATGTGAAATAGATGGGTCTGAGAAAGAGAGACTGAACTAAGGTTATTCAATGAATTCTACAGTCAGCTAAAGATTTTAACATCTTAAGTATTATATGAAATTGATACATATACACACACAATGTGTGTGACAATGTGAGGAAAAGGGCCAGTTTTTGAACTATAGGATTAATAGAGACATAGGGAATATTTCATATGCATTGCCATACTGAGAACTACTTTGTATGTGTGGCTTCCAAATTCCTCACAATTACTTCTATAAATTTATTGTGCCTGCTTGACAATGCAGAATCAAGAAGCACATGATAATCCTTATGGATACGGGGTGTGTTGTGTGTGGCTAGCCACTGATAAGGGTGGCATCTGAGCTCTCCATTCTTCCCCGTGATTTTCTCTAATATAACCAGTTTACCTTACTATTTTATAAAATATAAGGTAATTTAAACAGGATGTTAAGGAAGGAGATTGTGCAAGGGAAAGGGAATGGATGTATAACTTGGGACTAATGACTAGCAGAAGCTGATGGCCTGGGACAAAGCAGGATTCTATGAGTTCTAATCATTAATCAATTTAATCTATTACTACGTATTCCTTCTTTTACTTTTTAAAACCCTACCTTTTCTTTTAAGGGGAAATAAACCATTTTCACAGACTGTTGCTTTTTAATAGCACCATTAAATATATACACAGAGAGAATAACTGCTGATTGGCATCTGATGCAGAATTTGAAATTCAGATAATTTTAGCTTTCATTTGAACTATGAGTAAAAATGAAAATGGATAATATTATATCCTTGATTGATATAGCTTAGGTTTCCTTAAGATCATGCAAGCTTGCTTTGAGTAAATGGCAAAAAACAGAAAAATTCCAGATTTGAATAGGCCTGCAACAACTAAGTTAAATTTGTGCACCATTAATCAAATACTTTTTGCAAAATCAAATTATATTAAATACATTTCATGTTATAAAGCCTTCAGGATGACAATTTGCATCTTCATAACATTGTATTCTAACATATTTATAGGAAACTAGTTTGGGAAAGGCTGCGAGAATCTACTGTATAACATGAAGTGGAAGTTGAGCAGATTTGCAGATAAGATCAGGAACTAGTGATAGGAAACACTGCAAGTGACCTAATTTCTTTTGTAATTCCTATTTGTTTTTAAAAACACTTTATTAAACATAATGTATCGTGACAGAATAAGATGTTGGAACAGTAGTACACAAAGCAGCCTAGAGACATTTGACAGAGTCTTGGCGTTATACCCATCCATCCTGCTGCAGTGCTGTGATCAGCAGGTGCTTTTCATAGAAGATGGAAATGTCCTGAAGAGAGAAGGCAGCAAAGCTGGAGGATTTAGGCAATTGCTTTGCCTATCGCACACTGTACTCACTTAGTCAGGAAAACACCATCTGGCAGTGACTGAGATTAAATGCAGTAGTGGCAGAATAGGAATTGGAAATAGGGGCAGCAAAATAGTTTCTGCTGATTCAAGGATGAGGGATTACACTTTAGCTCAGCAGTGGGAAAAACACTCAGGTTGAGTGGTTGGGTTTCCATTGCAGGTGGCCTGGCTGTTAACAGTAGCAGCAGATGCAACCTTATGCTGGGAGTTCAAGAAGAAGCCACTACCTGAAGAAATAGCTCTGGTCTGGGTATTTAGTGTTAAATACCGGTAGTGTGCAGCATGCAGCCAGTAGCTGGCGCCGGCAAGGCCATCCCAGGGAGGGATTCTGCTGTTGCTTTACTGCTGCTGCTGGGCCATGCCTGGGCCATGCCCTGCTGCTGCATTGCAAGCTCCACCTTCGCCGCTGGCTTGGCTTGTGCAGGATTTTCATGCATGTCGGCTGGCCTGGGAGGCAGCATGGGGGGGTGGCCCAGATGTGGCACAGCGGCAGCAGCAACAGCAACAGCAGAATCTCCCCCCTGGGACGGCCAAAAACAGCCAGGGGCAGCCCCACCTCCGCCTCGCACAGCTGGGATGAGAACTGCAACGCCTGCCAGAGCCCAAAGAGCAGGGGGGGGGGGTGCAACACCACACGAGAAGTCAGCATGCCCCAATGTTTGTTATGGATGGCTTGTCTGAGTTTTCGTAATGTTTCACAGTAGACTTCTGAATTGATGGTCGAACCACACCCCATGAACTTCACTAGCAGTACTCCTTTGGCATCTTCACATTTGGCTGGATTTTCTATGGCACCACTTCCGGTGTGATGTTGGTTCTAGATAATGCTCACCCACACACCGCTAGACACACCCAAGAATTTTTGAAGCAGTTCCGTTGGGATGATTTTGATCACCCTCCTTATAGCCCAGATTTGGCGCCAAGCTACTACTACTAAGTTCTTTCAAACCTTGTAAGATGTTATGACAAGTGTCTCAATTTGAATGGCGATTATGTCGAAAAGTAATGGAATGTAGTTTTCAAAATGTGTACAATAAAAATGTGCATCTGCGAGTGTCTGTCACCGATAGCCAAACGGAGGTTTATTTCCGAATTGCCCTCCTATAACTGGCTTCCCTATCGCAGGTGTGCATATCATGGCCTCTCCCAACCTGCATCGCAATGAGCAAAAATGAGGCGAGGCCAATTAGCTCAACCCTGTGATTCTCCCTCTTCACATACCCACGCTCCCCCCCCCCCAAGATTAGAGAAATAGAGAGAGAGAGGGAGAGAGAGACTGGCCAAAGATCATTCAGGTGGTTTCCTGCCTCAGTCGGGACGATCTCCCTGTTTCTAGCCTGGGGGTAGGCAACCTTGACTCTTTTATGACTCGTGGACTTCAACTCCCAGAATTCCTGAGCCAGCTATGCTGGCTCAGGAATTCTGGGAGTTGAAGTCCACGAGTCATAAAAGAGCCAAGGTTGCCTACCCGCTTTAACCACTAGCCCAAATTGGCTCTCACTCATATTTCTTCGCAAATATGCCAAAGGCCGGTTAAAAAAATCCTTTCATATGCGTTATCGCTGTGTGCAAACATCAGCTCCCCTTCTTTTTATTCTCCTCCAGCCCTACACTCAATAAGACCGCTGCAGCGGCTTGTCCTGATTATTGGCCAGGTTCTTTGTCAATTTGACTCAAAAGATATTCCGGCTCTGTCAGCCTGTCCTTCGCAACAATTGAGCTCTGGGAGAGTGCCCGGTGCTCTAGGTTGGCAGCCGCCCTCGTCACTGGATTGCATTGGTCCCGCTTTTCCTTCCTACTCCCATATCCTTGCAGTACTTCCTGTCGATACCCGCGAAGTTCACGGTCCAACAGCGTCTTATTGGAATTTATTGAGCTTTTCTGAAAGACTCCTCCCTTCTTTATTGTGAATGGCCAAGCGGCCAATCACTCGAGCTAAATTTCCTCCCTCCTCCGCACTGATAGCCTGAAATCGCTCCGATGGGCGGGGTTTTCCTCGGCACCGATAGCGGCGACACAGACCTGCGGTTCAAGAAAGTGGCCACGCCTTCTTTCCGCTTCCTTCATGATCCGAGATTTGTGAGTGGTTGATGATGAGGTCAATTACGACAGAAGGCGGGACATTCTGCATCCGGGGGCCGGATGCTTTTTCTTGGCCCTGGTCGGAGCGGCGGTCGGGCTAGACGACAAGGGTGATGGCGCCTCGGCTGGGAGCGCTGTGGGTCGCTTCGGTGCTTCTGGCAGGTAAGGTTCCAAGCTTGTTTTCATCGCAACTGGAGGCGCGCCTCGAGGAAAGGTGGAGGCGGCGGGCCCGCGAAGCTCAGCCCGCCCTAGTCGCCCTCCGGGCAAGGGGGAAAGCTAAAAGGCGGAAAGGTCAGCCGCCTGGGAGGGCGAGCGCGGTCGGAGAGCGTCCAGTCAGTCGTGGGAACCGGTGAGAAGAAGGCGAGGCGGGGCTGCAGCAATTCGAAGCGTCGCAGAGTGTTTAAGGAGAGACCCGAAGGGGGACTGGTGGCGAAAACTCGGAGGCCGGTAGCCGAAGGAGATCGAAGGAGCTGTTGCCATCTGCAGAGTGGATGGCTGGGGATGATGGGAGTTGTGGCCCCTGCTGTAAGGCCAGGCTGAGGAAGGTGGCTGCAGCAGGCATGTTATGGCGTCAAGGGATGTTAATAGTAGTGGGATTGCTTTGCAGGGGGTTCTACATCAGGGGTAGTCAACCTTGGCTCTTTTATGACTCGTGGACTTCAACTCCCAGAATTCCTGAGCCAGCACAGCTGGCTCAGGAATTCTGGGAGTTGAAGTCCACGAGTCATAAAAGAGCCAAGGTTGACTACCCCTGTTCTACATTATGCAATTGTTGGGCCGATTTAGCGTTGGATTTAATTATTGTCAATAAACTGATCTGTATGTCACTCTGGTGACTTTATTCACTTGTTTCAGATGAAAATAGATTCTGTTGCTTTGCCCTTAGCTGCTGCTGCTTCATGCATTTCTTTGAAACCATAGACCAGTGATGGCGAACCTTTTAGAGACTGAGTGCCCAAACTGCAACCCCAAACCCACTTATGCATTGTCGAGTGCCAGGTGGGTGTGCCCATTGGCTGGGTATGGCCAATTGGGTGAGCGTGGCCCATTGGCTGGGCTTGGCTGCAGTGGTAATGGCAGACTGGGTGGGAAAGTTCAATTAATCAATTCCAACTTTACAAGATTTTTTTTCCCCGCGAGAAGTTGAAATTGACTGATTGAACCTTTTTTTTCTTTTTTGCACATGACAGTGGAGGCCTAAAGCGAAAAGGTTTTATAAAACCCAGCTGAAGGCCTAGGACTGGGGCGACTGCGTGCGTGCCCACAGAGAGGGCTCTGAGTGCCACCTCTGGCACCCGTGCCATAGGTTCGCCACCACTGCCATAGACTCTGTATCTGTTTCCCAGCTTCTGTGGCTACAGTTTTGAGGGCAAACAACTTGAGGGAAAAATTCCTGTATTAATACCCACCCATTGAGAGATGGCTCTCATTTTAAAAGCTATCAAATCAAACTGATTCTGGTATATATAGCACTCTGAAATTATAAATACTGATAAAGATTTAAATTGTAACTTTTCCCAAAAATCAAGTTTTAAAAAAATCTGAATTAAGATACAACTCAGAAAGCAAATACAGTTGTTTCTCTGTGTTGGATCAAGTTTGCCGGATCAGTTGTGTTTATATTAAGCTAGAGGACCACAATGTTTTAAGTTTACAGATTAAATGTGGATAACCCGTGATTACCTTTTCTGAACACTTAAACTAGTTTAGTAAACCAAAGGTTTTTTTAAAGAGGGTAAGATGGGACTGGAACTCATGGTCTCCCAGTTTCTAGCCTAGTGCCTTAATCATTATAGCAAACTGTCTAATTTTTTATGGACACTCTGAAATGGATCCTTTGTCCTACATTACAAATTCAAATGACATACTAGTTAGCTAATATTTACTGATACTGTGCTGTTGGTGTAAATTAGTATTATAGAATCCTATGTGTTTATTGTCAATACCTATTCTGCTTAGATACAGCCTTGGATGTAATTTTGACCTCCCTCCAAGGTTAACATGGTCAAAATAACAAGAACTAAATTATATCAACCGCAGGTTTGTGTGTGGAATAAACATGATTCTGAAGGAGGATCCATTTTACCTTCACAGCACGTTAACAGGAACAAGAAAACTGAGGTTTGGGCCAAATCTTGCCCACTGAAGTGTGTAAATTAGCCTTTAAATTGCCAATATAGAAAATTAAACTTCTTCTTGAGCAAATATTACAAGATTCTCTATATTATGTGTATCCTAACCCATTTGTACTCTTTGCAGAGGATTAAAAGGGTTGTGGTCAATGGCATTTTCTAATGTACTCAAGGGAAATGCTTCAGAGTAAATCTGAGATAAATTATATTACTTAGCGATGGATGCTTTTCTGAAGTGCCTGATAACTGTTCATTCAGTACATTTACATATATGCTTGCATTCTGTTACTTTAGTACAGGTTTCAGGAACATCTTGTGTGTAGATTATTTAAAATCATAACATGTTTACTGTAACCAGAAATCTTGTCTTTTCCTGTATCAGAATGCTGTAGTAGCACTTTGGAATCCAGGTGGGAATAGCAATTGTCATTGTTCTCTCAAACAGTTTACATCTACACAGATATAAAATAAATACATTTTTTCCAGTAGGCATTATTCTTTTAATGGCACTGTATTCAAGTGCTATCTACCCCCATAGCCTAAGTTGAATGAACTTATGTACAGGTAGTCCTTGACTTATGACCACAATTGAGCTCAAAATTTATGTTGCTAAGTGAGACAATTGAGTTTTGCCCCATTTTGTGACCTTTATTGCCACAGTTATTAAATGAATCACTGTACCATAGTTGTTAAGTTAGTAACACACTTCTAAAGTGTATCTGGCTTCCCCATTGACTTTGTTTGTCAGAAGGTTGCAAAAGGTGATCAAATGGCCTCAGGACACTGCAACCTTCATAAATATGAACCAGTTGCGAAGCAGCCGAATTTTGATCACATGATCATGGGGATGCTGCAATGGTCGTAAGTGTGAAAAACAATCATAAATCACTTTTTTCAGTTGCAACTTCAGATGGTCACTAAACGAATGTTTGTAAGTTGAGGACTACCTGTACTGCCTTATATATTTGTGGAAATGACTTTATCATATTGTATTCTTATTTCAGTTGTTTCTGCCAATGAATTCAGTGTATTAAGAGCGCCTGAATCTGTTATATTTCGAGAAGGAAATTGGCCAATTCCTGGAGAACGGATCCCAGATGTGGCAGCCTTGTCCATGGGCTTCTCTATTGAGGAAGTATGTGACTCATTACTGTATATCTGTTCAGCCACAGTATTCCTTACCATTTTAAAAAAAGTGTCGCAGATCTGTGTTCCGTCTGGGCAATACATTTATTTATAATTATGTCCAAAATAACGAATTGATGAATACTACTCCATCTGTTCTTTTCATTTAAATAGCGTCATGAATTCATTAATACGTTTTCTAATGCCTCATATTAAGTTATACATAAATTCACATAAAACATTTTTAACAAAATATAAAACCTTTTATAAAAGGAAAATTGCATTGTTACAGGATCTCTCTTGGCCTGGGTTAGCAGTAGGTGATCTTTTTCGGCGTCCGCGAGCTACTGTTCTTGTTACTGTAACGGGGATAGACAAGCTAACAATGCCTAAGAATGGAGTATCTTACCCAGTTGAAAATGTAAGTATATTATAGATTCCAGTGTCTGTACTAGTAGCGAAACTTCCATATAGGAGAGCAGGGAAATACGGCTTTGAGACTGCATGCTTTTGTTATGAGTTGGTGTACAGATACAGAATGTAAATTTTAGTAGTCACATAGAAGATACTGACTTTTTTTTTCTTGGAACATTTGCAGTGTTTATTTCAATACATTTATACAGCAGTTTTTTCTAGAAGCTCTGTATGGAAATGATGTTAAGAACTTTTCCCTTTTTATATCATCAGCTGTAGCAAAAAGGATTTTTTTTCTTGATCTTAATAACAAATATTTTTGCTTTCTTTTTCTTCCCAATTGAATAAACTATTTGTGTCCTGGGAGGAATATAGGAATATATACTGAAGTAAAAAATCAAACTGACACATGGAAATATAATAAATTGAGGTTAGACAACCTAGGGCCCTCCAGATGCTTTGCAGTTTTCAGAAACCTCAGCAAACTTACTCAATGGTGGGAGATAAGAACATTAGTTCAGAACATTTGGAAAGTTCTCTGTTGTCTAACACAGCAATAAATCAAAAGAAAAAAGCTAGACAGGAGATTTAAATAATAGATTTTTGTTTGAGTAAAGTTTCAGTTTCTTCCTTTAAAATTGGTATTTTTAGATTATAGAACAATAATTACCTCTTAAATGGAAAGATCCATTTACCATTAGAAAGTAATGCTTCATAAAAACACTGGCTTATGTCATTTGGGCATGATTTTTCTATAATTTGTATCCACTTTAATCTGAATGTTAGTACACCTTATTTTTTTTTTACCTTATTTGAATATGCATTATTTCTCATTACTAGTTCTTCAGTTTCATCAAAATAAGTTGCTTGAAGATTCTGAAATTTTCATTATTTCCTATGAAAGAAATGTTTGGGTAATCTTAATAAAAAGATCCTAAAATAGCCCTAATGAAAATATAACTAATATTTACTCTCCTTACTTCAGATAATTACAACTTCATGCATTCTAGTGTTTAATGTAACCCATTATATTTTAGAACTACGTTTCTTTATTTTGCAGAAAGCTAGTACTTACATGCAATTAAAAGTCTTCATAAATATATTTCATGTTGATTTTTGTTTTCCTTGGGACAATACAGAAGCAATAATATACGCTGAAAGTTGTTATTTTCCTGTTTTTTTATAGATTTCAATTTCAATTTACTAGTTTTCCTTTTATTTTAGGCAGTTCCCTTCAGCCTGGATGGGGTTGCAAATGCAATACATACTTTATTTTCTGAAGAAACGCCAGTAGTTGTCCAACTAGCTCCTAGTGAAGAAGTAAGTTCCATTATTTTTTTTTTACAAAAGCATCAAAAATTAAATTATGTCCTGTGCATGCTTCTAAGTAGAGATTTTTCTTAGAAGTTTCAATATTGGGAAAGAGTTAGTTGAAGACTCTTATAACAATGCAATATTATAATGCACAATGATGGTTCTTTCAGAGAGTTTATATGGTGGGAAAAGCAAATTCTGTATTCGAAGATCTTTCTGTCACACTGCGGCAGCTTCGGAATAGACTTTTCCAGGATAATTCCATTCTTGCTTCCCTTCCTCTCAACTCATTAAGCAGAAACAATGAGGTAAGGCAAGACTCATTCAAATTGTCTTGCTTGACAATGATTTTAAATTGATGTTATGCATATTATGCAGTCCCGTTTTGTCAAATCTATATTCTAGGTAAGATCTGTTTCAGGACATGAAGTATATATTAGTTTATTTCAGTTTTACATTAAGTGATTTGTTTGTTAAGAGAATGTATGGGTAATGTATGGATGGCATGCGCTACCCAATATCAGAATTGATTTTGAGTATTATAAATTGAAATGCTTTTTCAATTCACCTTTCTGTATGCGTGTTTGTTTTTATGTATACATGTTTATTTCATAGGTTGATCTCCTCCTCCTATCAGAATTGCAAGTTTTGCATGACATCACATGCTTGGTAAGCAAATTCTGCAAACAGTATTCTACTATGTAGGTGACAACTGGTAGATCTATTGTCAGAACCTAGATGTAAAAATTCTTCACTTTTGTTCATGGCACAGTGCTAGGACCACCATATTATTTTTCTGATTATGTAATTCTTTAGCTGGTTTAGAACATCTTAAATTAGAATGGACAGAGAAGATATAGTTTACTGGCTAAAGTGGACTTCTTGATAAATTCCTGGAAAAGCGGAATATGGGAGTAAAAGTTTCAACGTGTGCCAGCACTTTCAGTAAAATGGAATGTCGTGCCACCATGATTCTAGCTCTGCCCCTTTTGTATATAAAGGTATCTTTGACTTATGATCATTCCCTAAATGATGGTCTGAATGACCACATGAGAAAGGGTGCTTTATGTCCTGTAAAGCACTTCTGACATGCCAAATGTACCCACCTCTCTCCCACAGTGATGTGATCATGATTTAGGTCAGACATGTCAAACACAAGGCCCGGGGGCCAGATGCGGTCCGCGAAGTGGTTTCATATGGCCCGTGAAGCCATCCTGGAAACAGTGAGGGAACAGCCCCTGCTGCCTTGGCCTTGGCCCAGTCCGGCCGGGAACCAATGTACAATTTTGTGGTGGCCAACTATGCTGAAACACATTCAGATCTGTCCCACTCCTGCCCAGGCCCCCACAGGCACCCTTGACACAAACAATGTAGAGCTGGCCATGCCCACCCAATAGGCCACACTCACTCTGTCCACGCCCACCCAGTAGGTTGCACCCACCTTGGCCACACCCACCTGCCCCCCCCAAGGGCAACTGCAATGCTGATGCAGCCCTCAATGAAATTGAGTTTGATACCCCTGATCTAGGTGTTTAGTAACCTGTGCTTATGACCGGTTGCCAAGCGCCCTGTGAACATGTGATTCCATTTGCAATATTCTTTACTGTATTTCCCAGAAAGTCAGTGGGAAAGCCAGCAGGGAATGTTGCAAGCTGCTTTCAGCTGCGAAGAAATCTATCTCTTGTCTCTGGAAGCTATACTAAAAGATCACGGCTTATGTTGTACCAGTGCACCTGTCATTAACACCAACCATTAACATTAACTTCCACCCCATGTAGATGCATCTATATGATACAGATTCTAGGAAAAAAATCCCTAAAATAGTTTAAAAGAAAATGTTGCTTTCTAAAATTGAAATGTCTACTTTTTACTTTGGCATCCTGTTAATGATTTTTACCTATATCGCTTTCCAAGCTTGCTAGACACAAACATCTGGCCAAGGACCATTCACCAGATCTATATTCTCTAGAGCTTTCTGGATTGGAAGAAATAGGTAAAAGGTATGGGGAAGATTCACAGCAGTTCAAGGATGCTTCTCAGATTCTTGCAGACTCTCTGCAAAAGGTTAGTAGAACAAAAATGCTGCTAAATAATGTAACTTTTTCTTAACTTACAGAAACAGGTCTGAATAGATTATGCAGTGCTTTATTGTTGATAAAGATATAGTCTTAATTCATTCTTTAGTCATATATACAGTGTTTATATGTTTAACAAACATTGAAATTATGAGAGATCCCTCTCCCCCCCCAAAAAAGGCTACATTTCAAAGTTACTACAGCAGACCTACGGTCGTTCGCCCTTATGATCTACCACAAGGTTGCTGCAGGGCCCTCCCACCTGTCTCCCCGCATCCCACCCTGCTGGAATCCTGCATTGGGCCTACTCCCCACATATCCATCATGTTCCACACTTACCTTCTGAAGCTCTGTGAACTTCATGTTGTGGAAGGAGAGCAGGCCATGTGTCCCTGGGCTATGCAGCAGCAATCCAAATGCATGCCTATTTGTGACCTCCAAGATCCCTTCCAACTCTTTCTATTATAATATTTGAGTTGTGTGCCTTTTCTCATTTGTATCTAATTTTAGCTGTCAAATTCTGAATTTTGGGCTCTTTCAGTTTGCAGATGAGATGTACAATATCTATAGTGGGAATGCAGTGGTAGAAGTGGTGACTGTGAAGACTTTTGATACTCCCTTTGTGAGAAAATCCAGATCTATTCTACAATCCTCAGAGGTTATACAAACTTTTGCATTTCTTTTGATAGTTGGATAGTAAATCTTTATTTGAAAATTTCATGCATTTCAGTGGAATAACTAAACAGAAAAATGCAGAGTATTCATGATAGCCTGTTTATTTTGTGCTTTATTTTTTATTTTTTTAGCCCCTCGGTATATGTCTTGGAATAAAAAACAGTAGTTGTAAATGCATTTGAGTATAGCCACTTGAGTCTCAGAGTAAAATAATGCAAGAGTTGAATAATTATTCAATTTGTCTGTCATTTCTATTTGGTATATTATACCATTTTTGTGACTTAATGATTTGACATAATAACCTACAGCATTTTTCTTTGAGCCTCAGAAATTGGGAAAACATCCATTTGATTTACTGAAATTCTTTGTCGCTAGATTTCCAAATAACTTCTGTAAAGTTTAAAGCAAATTTAAAAATAATGGAAAACCACAGATTACTGATGAACCTATAAAATATACAAATGTATCTGTTATTTTCCAAACTTTTTGTTGGAATTTTTCATTAGGTGAAACATTCCCTTAATTCCATGAATTGCCCTGGCATGTAAAGATTGTTCGGGGGGTTTTTTATGTTGAAAATAGGCCTGAGCACTGAGCTAAATCCAACAGATCGGTGTTCCACAGTGGTAAATAACTGCATAAAGCCTGAATCTGGGTAGGAAAAACAATCAGATGCCTTGGAACATCGTCACTTAGCAGTGCACGTGAGAAAGAGCTAGGAGTCCTGGTGGTCCACCAGTTGAGTATGAATAAGCAATGTGCTGCAATTGCTAAAAGGCCGATGCTGTCTCGGGCTGCATTTATAGAAACGTTGCACCCAGATCACAGGAGGAAATAACATTTCTGTGCTGTTTAGACCAGACATTTGTCTGTGTCTATTGAGGGGCAGCTTGTTTTTTGTAAAAGGGCCTGAAAAAATTGGAGCAGATTTAGGGGATATTGAGGGGTCTGGAAACTAGGCCACATGAGGAAGTGGGTGGATTACACTTTCAAATGGTAATGGAGATATGACTGTGATATGGCTATGAGGCTGTCCATTATATGAAGGGCAGCCTGTTCTCTCTTAAAGAGGCAGGACAACGACCAAAAGGTTGACATTAAAAGAAATTAGATTAAGGCTGAACATTAGAATGCATTCCTTAAGGGTAAAAGCTCCTATCCGCTCAAACAATCAAGACTTCCTCCTTGAAAATTTTCATATGGGTGCTAGATAGCTACTGGTCAGGGATTACTTAGTAGATTCCTAATTTGGATTAAGATGAAGATTCTTCCAACTGATACTCAATAACTTAATAGGAACAAATTTACACTGAATAAATTGCACGTTGTTTTACAGTTAACCTAATAGAATATTCCTTGTGTATATTTACTCATTCTTTTGTTCTCTCCTTGTTATAGAGCAAGCCTGAAAATCCGTATAACATAGGATATGCATACAACTTTAACTATGCTGTTGTCTTCAATATAATTTTCTGGATCATGCTTGGACTGGCCATAGCTGTGATTGTTATCTCCTACAATCTGTGGAATATGGATCCAGGCTATGACAGCATCATTTATAGAATGACCAACCAGAAAATTAGAATGGATTAATTAATCTTTAGATGCAAATCTAAGAGGAGAAATGCTTCTTCAGTATTCTGACAGCATTCAATATGGACTCTTCATAGTGTGAATATTTTTATGAAGTACACATTTGTGTTTTGTGAGGATATATTAAAAGATAATAGTGGGTGTGGCCAATGTGCAGAGTTGAAAATGAGCAGTACTACACAACCATGAGCTAATTCTAATTGAAATATATATTTATTCTACCTTGTGACTGTGCAGTGTGCATTTTGCTTTAGGGATGCTTCTTTATATTGCTTACGACTAATAGTCTTATCAGTTTTCTTACACTGGAAGTTTAGGATGTTTTCTTAAACTATGTTATAGATGAATAAAGTAATTCATGATGTAAATATTTCAAATGTTAGGATTTTAATCCTATTAAGCTTGATTATCCAATGTAAAAGTTTCTTTAAGCAGAGGTACCTTTTTAAAATACAACTTTGCTGTACATATACGTATATTCACCCTAAATGTTTATTCAAAGTCACTATGTTTCTTAAAATGATGAAATTATCTGAAAGAAGAGAAATACACATTGGTGCAGCATCAGTATTAATAATTGTATAGTAAGTCACTGGATTGAATCAGTAGTCTCTGCTTTATGAGTAGTGAATTCTGATGAAAAATTATATACCATGTTCTTTTGTCACGTGATCAGTTAACAAATGGTACATAGTGGCCTGTGTTCTATAGTTGACATATGTATTTTAGTTCTTGACATATGCGGAAAAAAACAAAAAGGTTGATATTTGAGTGGAATGTTTTATTGGGCATCAAATGCTAGGTATAACCATAGCACTGAAGATGGTATAGGCCTTGGTATCAAATAGAATCTGCTTGCCGTGCAAAATTAATATTAAAACAAATGTAATGGCTTGAGATGTTTGAAAGATTGTTGTTATGATAACACTGCAGATTCATTTACTATGAGGGACTAAATAGATGTTCTACTACAGAGAGTATATGGTAGTTAGCATAGAGGGTCAACAAACATTCCATTTGTAAATGTACTTAATTAAATGTTATATTAGTGTATACATTAATATTCTTTAATTTATGAGGTTTAGTGCATTGGTATACAACTGCTATAATAGGAATGTCTAACTTTCTTCTAAATCTTGTAGCTGGCACTATGAATATGCTAGGTCTTGGTTATTTATATTGTTCTAGTTAAACTATGACAGTTGAATTTTCAGTGAATGTAAACACATATAGGTAAAAAAATTCCCCATACACACATGACTGAAAATACTTGAATTCTAGTTCCACCAGGGACAATCTTTCCCACTGTAAAAACAGATTTTTGTTTTGTTTTGTTTAGCTATATGTTCAGAACTGTGAGTGATAATTTCTTTCTGATGAAGCTGACCTCTTTTTAAAAAAAATTCTCACAATAGTTATTGGAAGCATGAGGGGGTTAGTCTGCAGATCTGAAATTAATCTGAAGCTTGAGAAAATAAATATTTAATCTTAAACTGATGTGTTTAAACAAGTTCCAATTGGAAAACTGGTTAGTAATGGATTGATATAATAGTACTACTGGTTTCTCTGTAGTAGTGTCAGTTTATAAATTGTTCAATACCGATATGAATAAAAAGATTTGTTAGAGGTGATGTCTATAGGTTCTAATAATTCATCTAGAGTGACAATGTAAAATTTTGAATGAGATTTGAATTAAAAGAAGTATATATTGAAGCCACATGTTAAATGAGTAATTTCATTACTAATAGAATTGATCAATAAGTTAATATAGGCTTTGGATATGACAAAACATCTGCCTTAAAGCTCTGAGCACAAAAAACAATTTAGTTGTATTACTGGAACAACTGAGAGAAGATTAGTTTGCCCTAATACTGTTGGCACATCTGACACCAAAATATTATCAAACTTGGGCTAAATTGTAAAGGAATGTTTGAAAGAACAAAATGTATTCATTCATATTCAAGAACTTTAGTTTTACAGTTGAAGTTTGAAGAACTTAATGAAATATTGCACCTCCAAATCTTAATCCTATATTGTAATAGAATCTTTTGAAATGTTTGCTTCTGCTTGCGACTTTCGAATAATCATGCATGCATTATGGGATGTTTAATTTTTAAATTTCTGAATTATATGATCTTTTATAGCACATCTATTGGTAGCATAATGAATAAGATCTTTTTTTAAAAAATATGCTCTTCTATGTTCATACCCAGGCAATCTTAAAGTAAAGATATGTCATTTATTTTCTGCTTAATTATCCAATACTAAAATCCTTTTTCTCAATCTTTTGGGAAAAAGTGCTGCTTAGTTCAAGAGGGTTCCTATATAAGTGTGGCGAGAACTGCAACACTTTACCTACTAGATCAAGGGTGTCAAACTCAATTTCATTGAGGGCCGCATCAGCATTGTGGTTGTCCTCGGGGGGGGGGAGGCGGGTAGGTGTGGCCAGGATGGGCGCGGCCTACTGGGTGGGCGTGGATGGAGTGGGTATGGCCTACTGGGTGGGAATGGCCAGCTCTACATCATTCACGTTAAGGGTGCCTGTGGGGGCCTGGGCAGGAGTGGGACACATCTGAGAGTCTCTGGCAGAAGGGGGTGGGACCGGGGCAAGCACCAAGGCATGGTCCACTGGTAGAGCCTCACTGTTCCTCTCAGGCCATGCAAGGGGGGAGCTGGATGGTGCAGCGGGCTTCCCGGAGTCCTGGGCAGCAGAGGTCAAATGCCCAGTCCAGTCCTCAAGCACCCGTGGTACCAAGCCCAGCCCCACTACCCCAAGGGGGTGCCCAGCTGCACTTACCTCCTCCTCAAGGCTGCTGCTGCTGTGCTTGCTCTCCTTAGCCAGGTTGCTCATGATGGGTATGAGGGCAAAGTCAGAGGGAGGCCCACTCCCTCTCCATGGGAGGAGACCTGGCTTTGTATCCAAAGCTTCGTTAGCAATAGGATGGGAGATCCCCAGAATAGACCAGGAGGAGGGGGCAAGGGGATGGTGAAAGGGCAGCAGGGCAGGACTAAGGCAGGACTTCCCTCAGACCTTCCTTCCTTCCTTCCTTCCTTCCTTCCTTCCTTCCTTCCTTCCTTCCTTCCTTCCTTCCTTCCTTACTTACTTACTTACTTACTTACTTACTTAGAACAGAGTGGTGGGAAAATATTTGAGATGAGGGAAGGAGAAAAACAGGCAAGAAATGCAGCTGGGGAGGTATCACCCTTCGTGAGGAATGAAGAAATGCACCATCACCTGGAAGTGGCCAGCACATGGCCCTCGCCTACTTCACATATCTGGCTTGGTGGGCTTTGGGGGAGGGGACGCCATGAGCAACGTGAGAGTCGACGTTACCTGCGCAATGCCGTCCAGCCTCCAGCCTGCCTGGTTTCGGCAGGCAGCAAGGCGCTCTCCTCACAGTGCCGAGAGGCTGAGCCAGGCAGTGCGAATCCGAAAAGAAGCGCGACGCCCCCCAGCCCCCAGCCTGTTCAGTTTCAGCAGGCAGCAGGGCACTCTCAGCGCTGAGAGGCCGAGCCAGGCAGTGCGAAGCTTGCCAGCTTTGCACCTTACTGCATGCTGAAATCAGGCAGGCTGGGGGCTGAGCAGCAGCGCGCTTCTTTTTGAATTTGCGCCGCCTGGCTCAGCCTCTCAGTGCTGTGAGGAGAATGACTCGCTGCCTGCCGAAACCCCTCCCCGAGAGCCCATCAAGCTGGATATGTGAAGTAGGTGAGGGCCATTTGCTGGCCACTTCCAGGTGATGGTGCATTTCTTCATTCCTCACAAAGGGTGACACCTCCCCAGCGTGTGCCCAGGGGGCAGGGCCAATGTGACAGGGGCCTATCTTTTGCTGTTTCCAGACGGCCTTGTGGAGCTAAGACTGAATGCGTTTCAGCATAGATGGCTACCATAAAATTGTAAATGGGCTCCCGGGTGGCCTGGGCCGGGGCCAAGGCAGCGGAGGCAGTTCCCTCACTGTTTCCAGGATGGCTTCGTGGGCCACATGTAACCATGTCGCGGGCTACATGCGGCCCCCGGGCCTTGTGTTTGACATGTCTGTACTAGATACTACTTTTAGTTTCAATAGATTGTTTGGAAAACAAAGAGAAATATATGCAATTACTGAGCCTATTGTTAACTTGTTTGTTTAAGTTTATTGGCTGTCCAACTGCAATGGGCTCTTGGTTTCTTTGGGTTCAGAATAAATACTCTAAATAAAAAAGCCATGTTCTCTATACAAACAGACTGCCGTCTTCTATGTGCTGGAAAGCAAGCCATTTAAACTTTGAGGCTTCCAAGATGTAGTGCTAGGACAGTGGTTCTCAACCTGTGGGTCGGGACCCCATTTGGGGTCGATCGACCATTTCATGGGGGTCGCCAAGCAAGGCTGTCCGCCATTTTTTTTGTCCGCCATTTTTTTCCCCTTTTCCGGCGGGTGCCTTACCTCCCTTGGGCTGGGCCAGCTGGTGGTCGGCCTGCTCCGTCTCTGCCGCTTGCCAGCTACGCC